TGACAGACAAAAGTGTCAATTATGTCATAAATCATCAATATCAGATTTTACACGCCACCCGTAATGCAATTACACGTCCAAATGGACATCGGGTACGAATAGATTTAGCTGGTCAGGGGATGAATTCATTGTTGTTGAGATTTTGTTCGCTTGAACTGATTGTAATTTATATTGTGGTCATTAAACGATGTTATGGTTATTTAAGTTTATTAAAACGAGAAGCATGACAGCCAGAAAGCGAGATTTTCATAAAAGCAGTGAACTGACCACAAGGTTAATGGTAATAAACAGATTTATATTTATAACTAACTGGCCCGCCAAACATTGTTTAGCCATAAAAAATATTTCTAGAAAATCTTTAGTATAAAAAATACCTAATTGATTATGAATGTGAAAGTGTGTAGTGAAAAAGGCAACTAACACAAATTGAATGGATGGTTTACACACTCAAGGAAACCCATTCCCGCTCAATAATGTTTTTGTATGTAAATAAAACTAAGAAAACTAAAAGGAAATCTAAAACATACTATTAAATTTAATTGAACATCATCGTTTCGAACGATTTGACATTTGACGTATGAGCCACCGTCCATTGTTTCATTTAAATTACGCTTCTACAAAAAAATTCAAATTACAAATGTAAAGTTTCTACGCGTTTTTGAAATAAAATCTCACCTTTCTCACAACCTCTGGATTAGCACAAATATTTCAAGACTAAGACTTGCCAAATCCATTCAGCCGTTTTAGAGCCTTAGCATACCTAACATAACACCGAGCTCCAATTTTATATATAAGAAGATAATGAATTATAGAGTTTCGTTAACTTATTTGTATCAACAACAATCGGTTCAGAATTTTCTTAAAAAAAAAAATAGCCATTATTTATTGTGCACTTTTAAATGCAGCCTATTATAATCCTTTTTCGACTTAGTAAAAAATTCTCGAGTTTTAAATAACACGAGTTTTTTTTTCAAGTACATTTTCTTATATTATTGACAGCAATTAGAACTTAAACGAGTCCGATGAGTTATTGTGATGACTTCCTAATTACTTCAGTTTTTATATGTCAAAGCAACGGTTGTTCTCTCTCTATTTGTTGAACTTATTTTTAGAAATTTTAATATTGATGTAATTTTTCTATTGATACAGCAAAGCCAAATAGGTGTCTGTCTTGTCCTTACATTTTAGGACGAAATAAAATACGAAGTTGTCATATATGGAACAAAAACTAAAAATCGAGATGAATCGAATGATGTATAATACTTTATGCGAATTCTTAGTGTTTTATAAAATATTTTGAATAGTTGCTCACATTTGTGAAACTAAATATTAAAATATTCACACATTTATTATCCTATCCTACACAAAAAACGGTTAGAATTTAAATAGTTTGTTTGAAAAAGATACGCAATAATAATACGAATAAAACGATATATAATTCGATAAGTGCCTGCATATAATTTTCGTGAAATTTTCCAATTTTCCTTCAATTTTAGGAGCCTGACTCGCCTATCTTATAAAAAGCTTCTCTTAGAAAATTTCTATTGTCATCTATAATTTTAAGTTAAAACCGGTGTCACTACTGCTTGACATCAGGCTATCCAAAGCGGATATCGAACCTGTTTTTTTGTATAGAAGCACAAAGCTCTAACCAATAAACCAGGGAAAAGCCACAAAACTATTGAAATACTCAATATCTTATATTGAAGATCAATGGGCTAAATTCTGCGATAAAATAGACTAATGTTACGCTGGGATTGTCATATAAAATGGTATCAAAAACTGCCAAAATGCTATGCCATAACACTAATGTCATAATGATAGATATAAAACCTAACCTATAAAACGCACAATCGTCAAAAAAAGAATCTCATCATAAGGGCATCTTTCTGATTTTATGTGTAAAACGCCTGATCGCACAGCAATTACATAAGATATTGACAGTTTTTAGTATCATTTTATATAAAAAAAACGCAGCGAAACATTGGTCTTGCCATAACGTTGGTCTATTATACGGCAGAATTGATCCATAATCTTACGAAACAATAATAATATATGCCAAGCATACGAATGTCCCAATTATAATTCATCTTTGGTCCATAATATTTATCGCAAATTTACAAATATAAATTATATAAAATATATGTCCAATAGAAAACTAAAAAAAAAATACAACTAATTTGCAAAATTTGTATTGCAATCACCTAAATTATTTTGGTGTAAAAACAAATAGAGAGTATGTTATGGAATTGAGAATATTTAGGAATCATTTAGATTTTTTAATAACATATGTCCTGGATTTCTAAAGAATATGATGCATATTCTGTCATGTTATTTCCAATATTGTTATCTTAACATGATCCAATGCCATAACCTCGGTATCAAAACCTTTAACAGCAGTATCATCGTCGCCAATCTCAAGGTATCGATGTACATTGTCAGACAATAAATTTTATCCATATAGGTCATATACAGATCATAAATTCGGTATCGCCCACCGAGCATGTGGGCGAATTCTGTAACAATAGCAATGTATGGGCATAAATACTCACATAATTACGGGATGCCGCTGACTGTTTTGCCTCTAATTGAAGTTTCCCTTTTCGGAATAGTCCCTTCTGTATTGAAATATAGGTCCTTTTTTCAATACGGTATTCAGCTTTCACACGGCTCGCCCCTGCGTAACAAATATTGTGACTTTATATCGGTTCCTGTTACAGAAGTCGAAGAAGAGCGATTCCTTGAATAGCAAACAAAAGATAAATTTTAAAATGTGCGCCGACCATAGGTTTCAGATGCACAATTAGATAATAAAAATTTAATTTTCGGAATTCTGAAATATTTTCTGCAATGTGGTGTGAAATATCTATTATTGTTAAAATTGTTGAGGCAGATCTATAGGCCTAAGTTAATTTTTTTTTGCATAGATTTATTGCCGATCAAAATAATATATTTTTTTAAGACAATATGTTAGGTGTAAATGCATTTAAAGAGATTATCTCCTATGAGATATCTCTTTTTTTATTTTTTGACATTTTATTTAAGTTCGTATGGCCATTTGTTTTTCAATCTCCGAGTAGGAGATTCCTCACTTAATTCTTTTAAATATTTGTTCGAGTGACCAGTTTCATTGATAGTTTTTATTTTTAAGTCATTATGTAGAGTGTCATTTGTAATATACCAGGGTGCGTTCACAATGCATCTTAAAATTTTTGATTGCGCTCTTTGTATTATTTGAATTGCTTGCGCACGCCCATAGCTCAATTCCGTATGTCCAGATTGGGAAGTTAATTAATTAATAAACTTTTCGTGATGAACCATTTTAACTATTGTGCGTTGCAGGTTTAATAAATTTTCTTAAAATTAGACTTTTATTTATTGTTCTACCGTACAACTTAATTAAGCAAAATAGTTGAAAGGAGCATTTTGCCTTAAGGCAAGTTGCTTGAACATCTCATTAAGCATACACAATCATTAAGTTAATCTTTAAGTATTAATATTCAACTATATTTAGAAAAAATGTTCACTTGTTTATTTCTAAAATAAAATTTTTGCTTTCGCTAACAAATATTCCATACGATTGCCAATTGATACCTTTCGGACATATTTATAATATATGTATCTGTATAAATTAAATTAATTTGTTCAATACATTTCATTTAATCTATTTCGTGTTCTAAAAGTGTGTACGTCAACTGTAATCAGTTGCAACCACCACAGAACGTGTGTATGCTTCGGCTTAGATTCTAATTAGAATTCCTCGCGCGGCGCTATTCTAAACTTTATTGAATTTTTATAATTCAACCGCTTATCGTTATTAATTTGTTTAACCCATTTCATTTAATCTGTTTCGTGTTCTAAAAGTGTGCACGTCAACTGTAATCAGTAGCGACCACCAAAGAACGTGTGTATGCTTCGCCATAGATTCTGATTAGAATCCCGTGCCCGGCGCAAATCTGAACATTGTTGAATTTTTATAATTCAACCGCTTATTGTAGACCTATAATATTTTAGCATATTATTTCAGACCAAGAAATCTATCATCATGCAAAGTCTTATCAAAATCACAAAAAAGTCCAAAAATAATTACGGTCCAGCAGATTCCCACCATAACTTAATCAGTATGATTCCCAACCAATATCTTTCGAACTGTTTTTAAATTTCTAAAATCGGTTTGGAATTGTGGGCTAAAACGTGGACAAAATATTTGACACTTTTTTGCTAAATATAAGAAACGGCTCGGTCGATCATAGAGCAAAACTAATCAATGCTGGTTCTTACCGAGGTACATAGAATGGATTAAACATTTTTAAAATCGGTTTATATAGTCATTGTATTAAGTTCACCTCGGATTTCGAGATACCCAGCTGTAAGCCTGTAAATACTTGTATTTTGCACCCTAAAAGTTGTCTCAAAATCTACATATGTTGCTATTAATTCACACATTTACATGTTACACGAAAAGCGTTGAAATTACTTAAAAAATTCATTTCGGAAGAAATGCATAATAATCATATGTATAGAACTATATACAATTTGATAAATAACTCCATATCGTTTTCTTGAGATTTTACAATTTTCTATGTAGGTTTTGAGACAACTTTTAGGGTGCAAAACACAAGTATTTACAGACTTACAGCTGGGTATCTCGAATTCCGAGATTCTTACCTAATTTAAGCTAAAATGACTGGGCTATGTAACTGTTATCAGCCCTTTTCGAGAAAATGTCGACGAAAGGTCAAAAATTAGCCTCATAGTTTTTCACACACATACTTTTTCTAAATTTGATTTTGATTCAGACATTCGATTCATTCGATTCAGATTGACTTGAAACATCGAGGAAACATGAAATTAGCAAAATTTTTTGGGATGTTCTGGCAAAACCATAGACTTTTCCTTCGGGCCTTAGTAAATTAAAAATACTAAACCAGCATGCAAAAATTATATTTATTAATAATTTTCCCTATATACAATGTTTCATAAAATTATTTCTATTTCAGTTTTGGAAGCAAGAGCAACAGCAGACATATCCAACATCGAGCATGGTTTAGACAACGAATCCCTGCCAAGTTACACTCTGGTCTCCGGTCTGCCAAGCTACGACGAAGCAGTTAGGCAGCTCCAACAAATCAAACAAATGACCAATCCTCAATCAACAAATATTAATGAAAACAAGACAACCTTGGAGCAAGAGCAGCAGCAGCAAACGGCAGATAACAGTTGGACGCCAAGCACTCCTGCTCCAGCTAGGCTGTCGGTTGTAGATTTATTCCATTTATACAAAACTAGCCAAAGTCAGACAAGCACTCCAATAAATCAAGCACCACAAACGACTGTGGCACCATTGACAACGGTATCAGAAAGCACCACGCCAAATGATTCTAACAAGATCTCATGAAATTCACTGTTAGAAACTGAAAAATTATCTTGAACTTAATTTATATTTAAAATATATAAACGAACTGTGTTATTAATTTATAAAATGAGTGAATGCATATGAGATGGTTGACGATTGATGAATGAAATTCTAGCAATTGTTATCACATGTTCATGTATAATTATATAGACTTTAATGTAAATATATTTTTGTAGGTTATAATTATAAAACTGAAACTAAATACTTATAATGTTTATTAAAGAATATAAAATTAAATAAATATGTTTGAATGTATCAAAAAAATCCTGCCATTACAGGCTAAAATATATAAAAATTCCTCTGTACTAATGTAGGCTATTCCCAAGGTGCTATTAATTTTAGTAATTTATTAAATATTCGAACCATTTAATTTTCAGGGGTCAATTCTCAGATAATAGGCCGTTGTTATGGCAACGCTTTGTTACCCTCTTTTTTGTATAAATTTGTAGTAAAACTGTCAAAATGCTATGTTTTTGCTGTATAGTCAGGCGTTTTAGATATAAAACCTAACATAGAAAACGCACACACTTTATCATAACTGCATCTTTCTGATGTGTCGTAACAGCACACATATAAACTTAAGTTTTGTGTGTAAAAGGTCTTAAGTTTTTACTAAGAATTAATATGAAGAAAAGAGGGTTGCCATGACAACGCTATGTTACGGCCTAATTTATCCGAGAATTGGCCCCTCAGGTTTGTTTTAAAATTTACACAACCCTTAATGTCATATGAAGAATCTCGTTTTATAAATGAAAATTATTTTGTTTTATAATTGTCATACATGGAACGAATTTGTGAGATTAATTTAAAATTACATTTTTTTATGACAATAGCACAAAAAATCATAACTACTTATATATACATTTGTGTAACCAGTGGTTGTGATTTTTTATTGTATATGATTTTTCCTGGTAATATATTTTTTTTGAAATTCTAAAGACCATGATTAAGCCTGAATAGAGTGCCTCAAAGTAAATGAAATCGTATTAGCACATTGTATTCTATATGTATAATCTAGATCTAAATAAACTTAAGATAATTGTAGCTTCTGCTGATTATTTTATAATAAACTAAATCGAAAATTAAACTGTGTTCTAATTAAATATTATCAATAATAGTAGTAAAGGGTAGTACTGCCCTATTGCAGGTCCGTGAACTGAGTTAAACTCTAACTCGATTCAGAGAGGAATAGTGTGAGAGATTTCACATAGCAGTGCCAAAAATGAGCTTATATTTCATTGGAAACAAATTTTTGATCAATATTTTCAAGTGAAAATGGACATCGCTGCTGTCCGATGTCAGGTTGCCAAAGCGAGGACTTGAATCAACGCAAGGCAGCGTGTTACCAGTTACGCCAAGTAGCACCAATCATCAAAGAGTACAGGAAAAAAAATAATTAAGAGTAATTTAAAATAAATTAACACGTTTATCACCATGTCAGTCATATGTGCCTGACATATACGTTTTGCTAGACTATATATATAACACTGCAGTCATGACTATACACCGAAAAAAAAGTTTAAATATAGAACCATGTCAGTCATATATGTGTGACTCAAAAAATAGTGTTTTCGCAGAAATTTTGGCAAAAAAATCTTTGATACCTTAAGTTTGCTTGATACATTTTTAACTAAATTATCTAATAAATTTACCATGGTCTATGTGAAAATTTTTCTGATATTATCGTGGTGATTTACATGTTACCATCATAGACCTTATACTTTAATACATGAACTGATGACATTTGATCAATCAAGAGAGTCTACGATTGTCGGCAACGCTCGTTCAGCAAGTGATGGCACACTCGTCACAGTCCCTCCTATTTTTGTACACATTATACAATGGAAAACATATGATATGAGGACTAGCAGTCCATCTAGTGTAAGGTCTATAGTTACCATTTATTATACCAAAAAATTACCATCAATAATACTACTAATACTATCGTTCAAATAGCACTAACCTGTTGTACGCGTTTATCACTTATTTAGAAAGAATTTTTGTTTACAAATTACAAATTACTTTTCTTGAATAAATAGGCAAACGATCAAAGAAATACAAACATAATTAATTCAAACATTCATATACTTTCTTTAATTGAGTTTAAATCATGACAAAATTGTAATACTATACGATTCTTAATTCCAAAATTAACTGAAAGCTTTTAATTGTTATAAAAGTGCTTCTTCTTTTGTTCGGATATTAATGACATGCAATTGTACCAATTATAAGAAAATTAAGTTATTTGTTTTATAAATAAGCAATTAACATAATTACAAAATTCGTAAAGTTGCAAAAGATCTTTCATTGTTTTTGAAAATGATTCAAAGTCTTTTGTTGTGCATAAAATCCATTTGGCGATCAATATAAATAAATATATTTAAAATATAAATATATTTATTGCCAAATTTGTGTTAGCAATGTTACCAAATAAAAAGTACAGTTTACTTTACAATTTAAAATTGCATATACAAGATGTTTTTTTAAACTTTTCTTTTGCTTAAATTTTGCAAAATTATTTCATAATAAGAAATAGTTTTAATACTTTAGTGTCAATTAATGCAAAATATACAACCTAAATCCTTTGTAAAATTCACAACATATACATTTGAGCAATTTTTCAAATAATAATTTCTTATTAACTTTCAGTAGGTCAAGTAATAGTGATCGCAAAAACCTAGAATGAAAATTTCTGCATATCTTCAAGTTTCAAAGATTTCTAAACATTTTTTGGCATACCTCAGAAAAAATGGATGTATGTGCGTGTGTGTGCGGATACAAATTTTCGTCGACGATTCTGTAAACACGGATCAACCGATTTGAATAATTCAAATAAGATTCCATTTCTACTGATAAGGAGACGTGCTGATTAGTTTTTGGCAAAGGCAGGTCTAGCCGTTTCGGAGATACGAGACAAAAAGTGCCAAAAATGGTATTTCAGTTTTTGAGATAACGGAGAGTCATATTTAAATAATTCAGAAAATATTTTACTTGTATTGACAAAACGAAAAAACTGGTGAATTTTTTGTAAAGGCAAGTCTAGCGTCTCCGGAGATCAAATAAAAAAAGTAAAAAATAATGCCATTTGGCGCACAAAAATGATCATTAGACATATGTACATCGTATTATCAAATATTTTATGAAGATTATAATAATAAGTACAAATTTTGTCTACATTTATATAGGTTCCCTTCCATTTTATGTTTACGGAAGTCGTCTACGTCTACTAAAAGAAAATCAAAATATAAGAAAATCAAATTTTTCAAACAGTTTTTATTTTTCAAAAACTCCAAAATTTCTCAAAATTCTATTTTTTTTTTTCAAAGTTTTGCCAAAGTAGGGTAGTTATAATAATGAGAATAAGTAGTAATCGAAAATACAAATTTTTGTATTTCTCGACGTTTTGAAGGTTTCTGAACATTTTGACATACCTCAGAAAAAATGGATGTGTGTGTGTGTGTTTTGTATGTCCGCATTTTTTCGTCCACGTTTTCGGGCGCTCGGATATACCGATTTGGATGGTTCAAAAAACATTCGATTCCTATTGATAGGGAGATGTGCTGATTACTTTTTGGCAAAGGCAGGTGATGCAGTTACGGAGATACGAAGCAAAGAGTGGAGAAAATAGAAATCTAGTTTTCGAAAAAACAGAGTACCCATTTGAATGATCAAAAAAACATTCAATTTGCAATGATTGGAAGAAGTGGTGATTAGCTTTTGGCAAAGACAGGTCCAGCGGTTTCGGAGATACAGAGATAAAGGTGCAAAAATGGCAGTTTTTGAGAGAACTAAGCGTCTGATTTGAATGATTCAAAGAACTTTCTGCTTGTTTTAACAAAATAATTGTTTTTGGGAAAAAAATTTTGTTTCATTGTTTTTTTTAAAAAAAATATTTTTTTTGTATATATAAAATAATTATGATCTTAATTGTAATTTTGACTTAAGTTCTAAATATACTTTAAACAAATCTTTTCAACTTTGCAATTCAGTTTATATAATTCTTATAAATATTAGACAATGCTACAATATTTATTTATGATAATCTATTTAAAAACATTTAATATTCCTCGAACATTTCGTTACGGTACGGGAAGTTCCAGCAATTTGCCTTAAGGCACTATGCCATGCATCCCACTAGTTACAATTGTCAATAAACTATTACTCAACGTTAATGCGCATTTGACCCGCACAATCCGATAAGATTCAAAGAATTTTCTTATTTGCTGATGTAATCACAAAAGTATTTAGATAATAAGAGATGTAAATAATAAAATCTAATCAACGTGCAATTATGAATACATATTAACCACAATATGTTAAAATTATTAAAATATTAAAAAAAAATTAAGCATGTAAAACTAACCTCAGTGCACATGACCGGCGATTGAATCATAGAAAAATCTTTTCAATAGCACGCTGACAGAATTCGTTCTGCTTCTATGTTGGGCGATTATTTCGTAATGTTTCTGATTCACAACAAGAAGAACTATTTAAGGATAACTGTCTTATCAAAAATTACACAAAAATGAAAGTTATTGACAAAGACTGGCGACCATTTGTTTATGGTGGATTAGCTTCAATAACTGCTGAATTTGGTTGGTTGGAATTTGACATAACCTATATATAACCTCAAAATTATAACAGAAGTATTTGAAATAATTTTGAAAATAACATGTATTTTAAGGCACATTTCCTATTGATACAACAAAAACTAGATTACAAATACAAGGCCAAAAAATTGATCATAGACATGCAGAACTTAAATATAAAGGTATGACAGATGCATTTATAAAAATTTCTCAACAAGAAGGAGTGAGAGCACTTTATTCTGGGTAAATAATTCAATATTATTTGTTGACATATCAAAGTTCTGGTACTAATATATTCATCCTATTACAATTATTTCCATTAGAATATGGCCAGCTGTTTTAAGACAAGCTACTTATGGAACAATAAAATTTGGCACATACTACACGCTAAAACAACTACTTCTTCCTAATGATCCAGGGGGATCACAAAATGTTGGTATAAACATTTGTTGTGCCGTCTTAGCAGGTTCCATATCTAGTGCAATTGCAAATCCAACCGATGTACTTAAAGTTAGGATGCAGGTGAATATTTTTAATATATTGTAGGAATTGAAACATAAAACTACTTTTCGGTTATTATGTTACTTAATTAAGAGTAAGGTGCACATGCGATTGAAGTAAAACTTTTTTGCTATTGTTCGGGATGGCTTTAAGTTCAAAATAAATACATTATATAACAATTTTGATTATTAGTAATATGGTAACACTCGTGATGCACACATTTATTAGTGTCGACCATAATACACATTTATATAATAATAAATTATATATTTATAATAGCATTAAAAATATGTATAATATTTAAAAACAATGATGTAATTAAAGTCATACTTCAAATACGGCATGATTGGTTTGTCATTGTAATTAGCATTTACGACTTGAATATTCATTAGAGAAATGAAATAATTGCTGATTAATAAATTCTATAATATTCGTTCACACAGTGGATTATGTTAAACAACGCCTAAAGAAATATTGTTTTCACAATTTCACTCATCATGTATTAATTGTGTTTGAAGAACTTCATGTAATTAAAATTATCATACATTCATTGACTGTTTGTGTTTTTTTTTACTTTTTTGCTGGAGATATAATCGTATTCTTTAAGCAGCTGTAATATCTGTCTTGCCTAAAAAATATTTTCCATTTTAATAACTTCAAAAATTTATAGAAACTACGAATAATATAGAGATTATTTCAATATACTTACGTTTAGTACACAGCACAAATGTTTCATTTGTTTTATTATTTTCATTATTTTTTATTAAATCAAGATTTGTACTATGATGTAACTTTAAAATGTTCATTTATCCATGCTGATTTCCTTGTCGATGTCTGTACGCATACAACGACAGATCTCAATTCACGCGACACGACGACTAATCATAATCGACCAGTAAAGAAATGATTTCATCGAAGCGAATGACGTACAGTTCGGGCGTAACGCTATTTCCGTTGCATTCTCACAGATTTACACCCTAGTCGCGCCTAAAGAAATTTTACTTCAAAATATTGTAGAATGATATAAATCGTTAAAAAATTAGAATGATTATTAAAGTTGTAGTTCTTCTTTATAAAATTGTTTTATTCTTTAGGTGCACGGCCAAGGATTGAAAAAAGGATTACTAAAATGTTTTTATGACATTTACAAGGAAGAAGGCGTAGCTGGATTATGGAGGGTAAATTGAATACATTTATCACAGAATTAACAAAGCTTTCTTTTAAAATTTATAACATGTCACTAGAATTTGTAGGGAGTTGGACCAACTGCTCAGAGAGCAGCGGTAATTGCAGCAGTAGAATTGCCTGTATATGATTTTTGCAAACAAAATTTGATGAATGTTTTTGGAGATCAAGTCTCAAACCATTTTGTGTAAGTTTTGTGTACATAGAATAAATTTCTTTTTGAAATTGTTTAAAAGTTTAATGTATATGTACAAAATAATGCATTATATGTGTACTTTATATCAAATAAGCTTATATATTAATGAAAATATTTAAATAATTACTAAAATTTACCATTTCCCATTTTAGATCAAGTTTCATTGCTAGTCTTGGCAGTGCAATAGCTTCAACACCCATCGATGTCATTAGGGTAAATTCTTACATTAAAACACAGCAAAATATAAATTATTTAGATATTATTAAAAGTTTTTCTTTCAGACAAGATTAATGAATCAGAAAAGAGTCACTAGTGGCAGTATGACGACAGCAGTTGTATATAATGGAAGTTTTGACTGTGCATTACAGGTACTATATTTTTTTTGCTAAATATTGTTTTAAATTTAAATTGAAAAATTTACTTTTAAATTTTTTATGTATCTATGAATAGATATAATAAGTTATTTTTTCAGACTGTGAGAAATGAAGGATTTCGAGCCCTTTACAAAGGTTTTGTACCAACTTGGGTTCGAATGGGTCCATGGAATATAATATTTTTCATAACTTATGAACAATTAAAACAATTCTACTGAAGTACAAATTTTTAATCTATCAGGGTCATTGCAGATAAATATTTATGCACAAATGAGTTATCTATATGTAACATGAAGGACACAAATATCTGCAATTAGAATAAAAGTGTACTTAGGTTTTGCACCAAATGTTATTAAAATCTGCATTTTATTTCAAAAAATCTGCTTAGTATAAAAATATTTTTGAAATTAAGCCTTGTGTGCAGATTTGAAATTTTAGACAAGACATATAGATGTTAGCATATATAGTAATTTATGAATATTGTTTGTTGTGATAGAATGAATCTTTCATTATGTAAATAATTTAAATAAAATTAATCTTAAATAAAATTTTGTTATTTTTCGGAGCATTTTTATGTTAAGAAGCTTCATACATTCCAACAGACATAAGCAAGTTACGACGTGAAAAATGTAAACATAGAATTGGTGAATTCTTTGTTGAATATGTTCTTAATAAAAATTGATCTCCTGTTTTAACATCGGGGTTATGTGATACATTCATATCTTCATGGGCAGCCTCTTCACATAACTTGGAGAAATCCCAAATTTTTAAAGTACAATCTAAGCTGCCTGTAAATGATTAAATGATGAAACATGATTCATATTCAACTTATTTGTGTACTTATTGCTTAAGTAATATTTGGATCAACCATATAGAGAATTACAAAAAGTGAATAAAATTAATTGACTAATCAACACAGATACATGCTAATTATATACTAATAGTTCATTAATTATTTCAATTAGTTTAATTTGGAAGTAAACTAAACTACTTAAGAAGCTTTTTTAAGGAAATTACTAATATTAAAAATTACCTGATGCTAAGATAGTGCCGTCTCTGCTAAATACCAATGAATGTATGGGTCCTTTATGACTAATCAAAGATGCTACTAAATAGCCATGTGAAAGATCCCAAACCAAAACTCTATTATCAGCACTGCCCGAAGCAAGATATCTCCCGCAAGTTGAGAAGCATAATGTATAAATAGCACACTGAAAGGAATTTACTTTAAATTTAATAATGACCAAAAAAAAAAAATAACTGTTAAAAATATAAACTTTTCAGAACTGAAATTTCCACTAATATAAAAATATAAATATTATTCAAGTAAAATACAATACAAAAAAGAACTTAAAATTAATCTCATTGATTGATAATATAAGATTATTATTTTATTTTAATTAAATATTCAATGAATAAAAACAACAGTTTATTTGAATACTTGGGAGAAAGCTTACCTTATGTCCAGTCATCAGTCTTACTTTGTTACCAGTTGTACAATCCCATAATCGTACTGTTCGATCACTTGATCCAGTTGCTACATAATTTGAATTTGGATGAAATTGAACACACTAAAACAAAAGTATGTCTTCAAATTCTTGAATTATTATAAAACATTATGTATGCATGCAAATGAATTACATATAATGTGTTCTGGAATCTATATTAAAAAGATATGTAAATAGTTAATTAATCATTATTTATTAAATAATAATTAAAATTATCAGATCAATGGTATTTTAAACTATCACAAGTTCTGAAAATAAACTTGAATGCAAATGAGCATTTCTAATAGGATATCTAATTACATCAACATCTGCCAAATGTCCTGCAAATATTCTTAATGGTGTGTGCTGGTCTGTTGCCCAAAGTCTTGCAGTTTTATCATGTGATGCTGTTACAAAATAATACCCATGAGGAGAAAATCGAACATCCCATACAGGAAAGCAATGGCCTCTATAAATTACTACACATGTCCATGTTTGAAGAGACCATAAACGTACTGTAAAATAATGTTTTATATGAATTTCCTTATGTATACTTATACTTATTTTTGTCTTAGAATAGAATACCTGTTGTATCTTCAGATGCTGATAATAACAAAGACCTATCAGGACTAAAGCTTAATTTATAAATAGGCCCTGAATGGCCAAAAAGTGAACGACTCACTTCAGAAGTTCGATCATCCATCATACGAACCAATACATCATCTATAATGTAGATAATATATATTTTGTAATTTCTTTTTTACTATTATCAAGTACTATTTTCAAATAAATACCAGCTTCTCTGTCAATGTCACTCAATAAATCAGCATTTTTCATTCCTCTTAATTTGGATGGTGTTAATGACCAAATTTTAATAACAGAATCTGCAAAACCTATACCAAGTATACTTGAATCTTCACAAATTTCAGCCGCAGTTATTTGATTTAGGCTGTTTAACAGTGTGTAGAAACATATTGATGGCAAGGACTCTGGTCCTAAATTTGCTCTTTTTGATGCTTCTCGAAGAGCCTTAATCTTTTCCAGTTTATCTGCATCTTTTCTGAAAGTATATATTAAATAATTAGCAATTTGTATAACGAATAATATAAAAAATTTTATATCCTAGAAATAAATCACAAAAATTATTCAAACTATTTTATAAATAAAACCTACAGATCTGGCAAGGGCATCCTATCTAAAGAAGGCGCATTTGGATCAGATTTGGTCTTTTTTGAAAATAATGGGTCACGTTTAGCCTTTTTCTTTTTTGGTTTATCACCACCTTCACCTTCTGCTTCCTCTTCTTCTTCTGCAGGTGCTGCCATACTCTGTATATCAGGCTCCTTTAGCAAACCGTAATATACTTTTGCACGGTTTTCTATATTGATAATGAAAATATAAAAAAAATTGCAAAACTATGAACATAAAGCATCATATAAGAATTCCAATCCATTTACCTTGTCGTTTTGCTTCTCCTAGCATAGCTCCACCAGTCGCTTCAATTTGCTGTTTTGTCCTTGCAACTCCTTCATAGATATCAAAATATAATCGTTCATCTATTATATTTTGAACAACCGACTGCCTTCGCTCTTGCAGATAACGTTTAAGTAATGACAAAGTATCGCGTGATATTCTGATTGTAAATTCATTAGTACTGTAATTACAATATAATATTACTAGTAGTGCTATTTATTACAAAATTGAATAGATGTAATATATGTAACATAGTTTGATTTTTGTTGTAGTATTCCAAAGACAAACTTCAATTAAAATAATGGGAATAATAATTAAATTATTTTTTATATCGTACTTAAAATTTTGTGACAATTCATTGCTTTCCATGTGTTCTTTCTTAATGATCATGGACAGCTTTTTAAGATCATCTTGATAATAATCTTCTTGTTCAGGAGAAAACCTTTGCAATAATGATATTGCTTTTTCTTCATGACCATTGTAGATTAATCGTAGATACATATGCACTAGTACGGGATATAGTATCATGGCCAACTCATACTAAAATATTAAATAAATAGGTTATTGGATAATAATATAATACATTATATCACTACTATATATTACCCTATATATATCTAAAGAGTTTTCAACAAATTTTCTCAAATCAAGGTAAGAACTTTCATATAAATCTGGATCTCCATCACTTTTGTAAGCTGCAAGTACGCCATTAACATCATCGATTGGTATTGAATCGTCTAAATCTGTTAAGTTTGCTTCTTTCCTTAATAATTCTTCTGTTCCCTGTTAATAATTAAGTAATAATCTATTAGATGCTAAAAATATACTAAGTACAGAAGCTCTAATCAATATTTATTATTTGTTTACTATTTTTCATAAAAAAATATTAGCGAATTTGAAGATCGGAAACAAAATTGAAAAACATTAACAGAAAAAAATTAGTACACCTAATGTTAAGATTATTCATATTTTAATAAAATCACAAATATTAAATATTTATATCATAAACATTTATATTTTACACTTACTTTTAGGTTATATTTTTTTAGTAATTGCAGAACTGCTACTAATGTAGTTCGGTCACTCATTTTTATATTTCATTTACACATAACTTGAACACTTAGCACCTTACAGACAATTCTTATTTTTTGATTATTTATTTAAATAATAAATATTTAATAATAATAATTGTGTTTATAACCTAATTTTGATCTCATTTACAAAATGACGTATCTTAATAAATACCATTGAAGTTGGCAATGAATTGAGCAAATTGTAACGTAGAAATCAAAAAGCGCGCCGAATTTAAAAACATCGTTTGTTTTGTAATACATGCTTGCATAGATAAACAATACATACTTAAGTATGTATGCATCACGTATATAAATTGATAAAATAGGAACAATGAATATACCTAACACTAAAAATTATATTTAACTCATAAAATAAATTGTAATATTACAACGAAACAGAAATTTTCAGGCATTTATTATGACACCTACATTTAAAACTTTGTAATTATATTTCAAGCTAGACTTTTATTATTTTATACATTTTATCTACTGAAGTAATCTACTATTCAATACTTATCATATCATTTTTAGTACACACTTTGTACAACTAAACAAGAACAAATATAATTACCTATAAAAAATATATTTAATTCCTAACAGTGAAACAAAACAGAACAATCCAACCATTTATTGTTTATCCAATACTTACAATTATAAAGTTACATTTTCATGATTATTTTATTGTTTTGTACATTTTCAGTTCTAAATTAATCTACAATTCATTGATTTCCACTTCAATTTTAAAACCTCTGTTCTTATAGCTCGTCAATAACAAATTTAATGAACTAAAAATTCAAATTCTAAATTCTAATTCTAAATAAATTGTAATGTTACAACTATTACAATAAAGGCAATCAGAAAACTCGAGTCATTTTGTTAAACTAATATTTGAATTCTAGAATTATATTTTCATCATTTCTTTATTACTTTGTACATTTTGCATTCTAAATTAGTCCATAATTTATTGATTACCAAATCAATATCTAGCTCACAGAAAACTTGAGTCCTATTTTGTTAAAACAAAAATTAGAATTTTATAATTATATTTTCATCATTTCCTTATTACTTTATACATTTTGCATTCTAAATTAGTCCATATTTTATTGATTACCAAATCATGTCTTGCACACAGAAATTTTCAGTCATATTTACCAATATTTAGAATTTTATAATTATATTCTCATCATTTCTTTATCACGTTGTACATTTCGCTTTCTAAATTAGTCCATAATTCATTGATTATCATCTCTTGTCTAGCACACTCTTTTTCCATCTCGGCCACCTCTTCATTTTGCTTAGTAAATAATTCTAATAATGTTGATGGTTTCTGGGTATCTACGGTACTTACAAAATCTTCATATTGATTGTAGCAATTATAAACAGTATCAACCTCTTTTTTAGTACTTGCAACCTGTGAAGAATTAATGTGAATCAATCATAAATGGTATTAGATACTGTAGGTAAATTATAATAATAATTGTCATACATAATTAATAAATAAACACACAAAACACATTTTAATATGTTATTCTCCTACTCGAAATTAAAATTTGTTATATACAATTTTGAATTATTTTTAGATTTTTAAAAATTATGAAATGCTGAAAATGAATGACAAATCCAAAAAAAGAGAATGTGACATATATAATTTAATTGTGAAAAAAAAAACACTGCAGTGATTATTAAGGAATCAACAATTCATGAAATTCTAATAGCACTCCTATGTAAAGTGAAATTTAACTAGTTGGGTGCATGGCACAGTGCCTTAAGGCAAATTGCTGGAACTTCCCTTACCGTAATCAAAAATCTTGGTACGGAACTAAAAAAAATTACACAATATGTGTACACATTATTTAAAAACTCTATAAAATATCTGATAATTTGATGTACATGTCCAAAAAACATTTTTGACCGCAAAAGGACATTTTTTTAACTTATTTTTATTGAAAGTCCATAACCGCTGGACCTGCCTTCCCAAAAATTTAATCAGTTCATCTTTTCAATAAAAGTAAAATCTTTTCTGAATTATTCAAAATGAAAGCTCCGTTCTCTTAAAAACTGAGATACTTTTAACTTAGGCACTTTTTGCCCTGTATCTTCGGAACGGCTAGGCCTGCCTTCGCCAAAAACTAATCAGCACGTCTCCTTATCAATACGAATCGAATGTTTTTTGAATTATTCAAATCGGTTGATCGGTGTTCCCGAAATCGTCGACGAAAATTTGTATCCGCATACACACAACATACATCCATTTTTTCTAAGGTATGCCAAAATGTTCAGAAACCTCTGAAACGTAAATATATATATAAAAATTTTCATTTTCGATTTTTTTGCGATTACTATACCTTACCCTACGGGAAGTTAATAATTTCATCAAATTTTATTGTTGATTATGACAACTCAAGATCAAGAGTTGCAGATCAAAATGTCAAGCAAATTGAAGATCAAAATCCACTATGCACAATTAGACCACACACTGAATTTGAACATTAAATTAGTAGTTATTAATTGTTAAATATAAAAAATGACTAATTTATCAACTTCTAGCATCGCATTCAAGTAGAATAAAATAAACAAATTAGATATTTTATAGGTTAGGCTAGAACTTACCCCGTCAACGAATTGTTGCACAATAAAATCCATGTAGGAAGCAAATTATTAATCAGCAGTCGAGCAAATACTCGATTTCAACAATATCTCTAGACTATAATAATAAGTAATAAAACGACCTTCTACAATATTTATTTGTTAAAGACATAATTGGTCTAAAAACTGTCAGTTAAGATTAGGTCAAATCTTAACAGATCTTATTTCAAATGTCAGATGTAACTCTTGTAGTGTTGGCACCATTGTCTTTGTGTCAAAATTAAAGATCAATAAGATGTTATCAAAATCTTAATGTTATGTTACTGTTAATTTTGTCATTTTAGGATTAATTTTGTTTAAACGCAAGTTTAAAACAAGTGATTTTACAAAATATTTCAATATGAATGCTCTATAGCCAAAAAAGATATGCATGCCCTTTTCCATGTACGTTTTAATTATCAAATTATAATATATGGTTCATACTGATATCATTCTGATTGTTGATAATTTTATTATTTATTTATTAATGAATATTATATATGAAACTCTTGCATTTGATTTATATATACAACAATACATTATAACAGTTTTCGTTTGTTTAAGTTGAAAAAGATGTTATATTTATATTAACAAAGTTATTTATACACATGTTCCTTATCTTTACAACAGAGATTACTTTTACTGAGATAACATTAAAATGTATGATTTTAAAATTTTTACTTCTTATATAATTTTAACTTTATTATAGTAATGAAAATTTTTAAATGACAATCATACAATTGTTTCTTGAATTATATAGATTTATGTGTACATTTTTTGCAGAAATGAATAATAACAAAACTAGCAAGAACTTTTGTTTATAAAATTACTGCCACTGAAACTATGTCTGTTACAATAAATAATTTTTCTAATAATCTTATGGAAAGGAAACGTGTTATAAAAACAACAAGAATACAATATGAAATATATGTAAAATTCTTAGAAGAAAATAAACCATTCGCTCTTGGCAAAACTGATTTAATTGCTAACGAAAACTATTTTGCTGAGAAATGGAATGAATTAACTGCACTATTGAATACCTCAGGCGCTGGTCCCACTCGAACACAACAATCTTGGAAAACGGTAATAAAAATTATAAATTACTTTGTTATAATAATAATAATTATAGTAAATCTTTCTATAAATGGTGAAACAAATAGCAAAATGTTAATATAATTTTGATATAATATTACTTTTTTACATTTTAATTTACTTGCTATTTTGAATTTTCTAAACCATATTCATTATTAATGTTTAGCAAAATAAATTTTAAATACAATAGCGTTCTGATTTAGTTACCATATCGAGCAATTAAGAAAGCCCAGCCTAAATTTTATATATAATTTAATAAAAGTGTTCAATAAAATATCGTGATTAATGTTCTTTATATTTTATTTCAATAGCTGCTATGTGGATGGAAAAATCAAACTAGATCAAAAGCAAGAAAGGTGCAAGCAAATAATCTGTTAAATCATCAAACAGGAAATGGAAGCTTAGTTTTAACAGCGGTAGAAAAAAGAGCTTTGAATGCTTGGAATGGCGTTGAAGAATATTCAGATTATCAAGCTTTGCCCAATGTTCCTATTGGAATAACAATTAAACGAGATTTAAGTTCCTGCCATAATTCACCGGTTAGTTTTGCATAAAGAAAAAAATAATTTTATTATTTAAGCTACTTTTTCTTATTGCTCTTCCAAATATTTGATTTGATTTATGTATTATCTATAATCTATATTCACATATGTATAACATGATAGAATATCTCTAAAATTTGAATATGATTAAATGTTTCAGCAGAATGATGATAATGAATCTAGTGATGAATTTGTTCCTCCTCCTCGGAATAGTATTCAGGAACCTGAAGTCTTTGTTTCAATGCCAATGGACTATGAACAGCCAGGTGTATTACAAGAGGAAAAATACAACAATATAGAATTTGAAAATGGTATTCATTCATTAAGCAATATAATTTTAGAAGTCTATTTATATTTGTTATTTATTTTTTATTGTTCATCTCAAATCTTTCTTTCAGAGGACATTAATAATATGACTGCAATATTGGTAAATGCAACCAACACAAATACAAAGATTATCAAGGAAGTGCACATGGCTACGAGTAGTGCGTTGGAAGCGGTAGCAGCCTCAGTTAATAAAGTTGGTGAAGCTTTGCTTGCATTAGCTCAGGCCCAGCAATTAGCACATACAAATGAGAAATTAAGGTTAGAATTTGCATTAGCGAAAATAAAATTAGAATTAGCTCAGATAAATAATAGGCAACACTAGAAATGATAAACTAAACAAACTAATATAAATATAAATACACTATCACAGTGTATTTATATTTATGTGCAATTTTTTCTTAAGTTAATTCATTGCTTTGATTCCTTACATTGAAATAGTTAATTAAATATAAGAAAAGTTAAAATCAGGTAGAAATAACTTATACTGAAAGTATGACGATATTTTATATTGTTCTACATGTACTGAATGCATATTTATTTTAGTTAGATATTCTTGATTAAATTATCTATGAATATTGAAAACCAATTTCAGTTTTAAACTACTGTGGTATCTCGACAAACCAGTTTAATTCGGTTCATAATCACACATGCATTTTGAATCTCAAAGCAGTTTTTCACATATAGATACATTGAAAGGCTATTAATTCGTTCTAATACTGTATGTGTTAAATTATTTTAATACTAAATTCATAATATTGAGGAAAAGAGTTAAATATGTTAGAACTTTTTTATGTTGGTTCTAAAAGGTCAGAAAACTGCTTATAAATTGTTATAAGGCCTTTAGCTGTAGTTATACTTCTTATAAACTCCTTCTGTTTAAATACAGTATTTATTCATGATGTATTTCGCTTGTACATCTTTGCCCTTCTCATCCTATTTAATTCAATAGACTCGTGTTCTTTCTTGTGACCATGGTTATCAAAGTAAATAAGACGCGAATTTAACATATACAAGTGCACAATCACTTTAATGACAAAAGCCTGAAATATTAATTATGATTATTGATTACGGCTTGCTTATGAATAAATAAATAAATAAATGTATATTTCGATTATCAAAATAATCCTTGAAATATCCGCGTCGGTAAATCGTTATTGAAAAATGATTTTAAACTTAATCACCATATCAAAGCTCATATCTCAAATTGTGGTCTTATGTCTATTTCGAAACACTTGTAAGGTAAGTCGGGGTGCCACTGTATTTGTAAACCAATAACATTATATAAGAAGTGCATACTCAACTTTCGATTTTATATATTATTTTTTCAGTAAACATTGTGATTGCAATGCATATTGACTTTGTATTAGTCAGTATACAATATTGTATACTGATTAATATTCTTATTAACATATGATTAGATAATTTCTTAACTATCATATAAGAGTAGAATATAATAATGCATTTTCTGTGAAGAATCATGGCTATTTTAATTTACTGGCAAATCTGTAATTCAAAATACATACATTTTTTACATATGAATTTTTAATGAAACACAAGTTTGTATAAATATTTTTTTTAATAAAAAAAAATTATATAAACAGTCAATCATAAAATAAACTCTAGATATAATTTAAAACAAATTTTATAACGTATATACAAATTTAATAATTTATATACAAATAAAATTATGACTATTAAAGGAGTACAAATATAATTATTCTAATATATATACAAAAAATGTTTTTATTACCCTTAATATCATGCATAAACAGGAATATCATATAGGAAGTTCATCTAATAATTTTTACAATATAACGTTATATGCAATATCATATTGAGAACTTACATTAAATAAAATTAAATATTTTTAATATTAGGTTGTCAAATATCTCCCTTCCGCTTTTTTGCTCTTGGTTTATAATACAAAAAGGCGGAAGGGAGATATTTGACAACCTATTATTAACAAACGGTTTTTTTTTATATCACTTTTTAAGATCTCCGTTTGAAACCAATTGTTTTTAAATCTACATTAATCTTCTATATTATGTCACTAATTAAATCTTAAAGTATCACATTACAAATTTGGCCACTAGTATTGTTAATTACTTCGGTAACTATATACATCTCTGTCTTCAGAACAATTATCAGAATCTTCATCGGGGTTATTCGATGACGCAGCATTTCTTGAGTTAAAACAATTCATATTGTTAGTATTTGGTGACTGGTAATTGCTTTGAGTTTGTGTTTGAATTGTGCTACTACTGACATTGATGATATTATTGATGTTAAGTACAGTGTATCGGGGCTCATTCTGAAAATTAAAAAATTTGAGTTAAAAATATGTTATAACAAGTATATACATATAGGTCATTGCAAAATAAACTGAACATAAAGTCCTTTCAAAATATATTATTTTGAACTACGATTTTATGATACAATTGTGATAGTATATTATATTATGTTTATTGACAATAAAATATAGAAGTATTATTCAAGTAAGAAAATTCTTACCGAAGATTTGGGTTGTTTAGGTGGTGGTTCATCTTGCTCTTGGACATTTTCAGCGTCAGAATGTCGTCGAATATTTCTATTCTCTTGTTGTAAAATTCCAGCAAAGGTAGTTCTATCATCAGTTGAAGCGGGCGTCCTGCAAATCAAAAATATATTAAAATAAATAGAAGACTCTACATCAAGATGTTGTGAGAATTCAGTACATTTATGGTTTATTTAATACGAAAAATCTATTTTTTTAGCGAAATCGCGATTCAAAGTGAGTTATGGACGTAACAGGATTTTACACTCTTTTAATCTCAATATATATGACTAACTATAGGAATTATAATGTAAATAACTTACGGAGTCCAAGGGCTTGGTTGTGTAGATTCTCCATCTGGTGAATTAATAACATCACCAGCACCTGGTCTCGGTGTCGCCATTGAATCAGTGTGGTCCTCTGTAACAGCTGGAGGCCTGTAATAAGAAATAAAATCATTGTTCGATTATATATATATATTTTTAAATATAAAACTCTATTGATCTAATACTTACGTAATATAATTCGGAGGTCTATAAGGGACAGCTTCTTGGAAATTATCAGAAATTCGTGGACCCTCAGCAGCAACATTTCCTGGTGTATATGCAGGAGGTGAATCACGTGCAGATGAATCATCAACTGTAAAATTTAAATATATATTAACAAAAAAGAATTATTTCAATTCTATATCAATTGTTTGCATTAAATTAAAATTTATTTACCAAAAGAAAGTATACGTTTTTTTTAAAGCTAACAAATTGATTCTTATAGTAATGAGCTTATAAATATTACGAATTTATGTTCTATCATACATAATTTACCAGTTACCGAGAGTTCTAAACCAATATTATCTTAAATAATCGGAAAAGTTATTTTGAATTATATTATAATGAGCCTCAATTGTTTTTACTCATTACAGATTCATGGACCCATAGTCTTTACCATAAATGCAAGAAGTTAGAGTAAAAGTTAAATGCCAATGAACGGGTTTTTACAGGTTTCAATTTTCTTTTTCTCAAATGCACTACCCAGCAGTGCTTGCCAATGAGTACTATCTCATTTTGTCTACGAATTTCAACCACTTTAAAACTGAATTGCGCAATAAAGATAAAACATAGGTTCTTCATACTATGTGAAAAAATTGCGTAGTGTGTTTACGTTATTGTCAAGAAGAAAAAGAAATGCTATAACTTTAATACTCCCGCCATTTAGAAAAAAACTTAGAATTACCACGACGATTGTTTCTTTTGTGTGGTAAATACCAATGAAATAAATGCAGGCAATAGAAGCAAATGATCATAAACCACAACCCCAAAGGTATTTAAGTCTACTTCTGACCAGATACACAACCCTATCCATGCTAATGATGAACAACCTAGAACATCATCATCTCCTGCCTACCAAGTAATGGATGCAGAAACCAACGTTTAAGACAGGAAGAATTGAAAACTTGAATTGAAAAACTTGAAAAATTGAATTTGATGTATTTGATTTGAATTCATCACCTGCACTTAAATTCAAAACGGTTTTTGGAAAATTTTGGAGATATTACCGAAGAGCAGGGCGAGAGTATCCACCAAGACATCAGGACTTTGGAGGAGCGATATCAAGGAAGGTGAGACATCCACATGATGGCCGAAAATTGTTGGAGCTTATCAATCGAAAATCATATAAAAAGACTTTTAAAAGCATAAAATCTAATATGTAGTATTTTTTATTCTAATTTGGGGTAAAACTAGGATATTGGCATATCAGAAAAACTAGAGCTGTTAGCAAATTTCTGCCACTGTTTTCGTAATCAGAGCCCTCGAATTACTTAAAAACCATCATAACATCTCAGAAAAAAAATTTAGTGTCGTCCAGTGTAATCAATGAGTCTCCAAAAAACATGACAAAACCACCATTAAAATAAACAAGATTGTGACAATGACGCTCAACATCTGACTGGAGTGTGATTATGGCTTTCTTCGTGTTATATAATCGCGAAAATGTTACTAAAACTAGCCAATTTTTAAATACTGTGTCATTTTGTCCATATATACCATATTGTTCGTATATCCTCTAGTAATTGCCATAATTATAATTCTTGGCAAAAACCTACTTGAAAAACTCATTTTCAAAAGGTACAATTAGATTTAAATTAAATACTGTCAATTAAAACATATATTATTAATATATGTATATTCAACTTACAGTATGATCCACTTTGAGAATAAGCATGGTTAATTGCATGCTCAGGCGCCATCATCGGAGCACTTGGATCATTCATTCCGTTTGTCTTCTCAGGAATTGCAGTAATTTCGTTTATCTTCCTCGCAACACGATACTTTACGACGAAACAACCAATAATTGCAAAAACCAAAATAACACCAACTACAGAGAAAATGATTATCAAAAGTGTGTGATTCGAAATATCTTGTTTTGGAGTATCTTTGTTAGAGTCGGTTGATGTGTCGTGGCCTGAAAACAGAATAATTGTTTTAGTGAAAAATTAGTCCGACCATACCATGCTTCATGCAATATTTTATTTTGTTTACCATTTTGTTTTGGTTAGCTTGCAAAAAAATAAAACGCTGATTAGTTGGTTTATGTATCTATATAATTGCATCAACACATATAGTCCATGGTTTTCATTTGCAATGAAATTTTAAATGATTATAATTTTTTTTTTTTTTTTAAATATCTTAAAAAACGGGTAAACCGATTTCAAGAAGTTAAAAGGGTGTTGCATTTGGTGAAATTTGATAAAGATCAGCCAAGCCGTTTTTTTAGATTTAGCAGATAATTGCAATTTTTTTATCAATGCTTTAGCAAAAAAATCCTGAACCGATTTTGAAAATTCAGAAAGATATTAGTTGGACATCGTACTGATTAGTAGCTTTTGGTAAAGATTGGCCAGGCTTTTCTTCGAAATTAAGTCTTGTTTTTTTTAATGTTTTTGACGAAAATTTGTATGATGATATAGAGATGGTATGGAATATAGTTCATGGTGTAAATTAACGTACTCAAATATTATAAGAATCTTACGAAAAGTGTTTGAATTATAAAAGACATCAAAGTTTGCAAAAATGCTATGTTTATTTCATTCTGAGTTCTAAAGTACACAAACAGAATGAAATGTGTTTAATATTATAAGCTTGTTTGGAAGATATCAATTGGAAATTGAAAAAATCAATTGCGTTGATTAGTTTTTGGTAAATATTTGAAACTTTTTTTTCGCAATAAACAGTTGAAAATTTAATCTAAATAGCTAATTTTCAATTCTTGCCGATTAAGTCGATCAAGAAAAAATGCTACTTACAACTAGTTAATTAATTAATATAATTATAATTTTTAAAAAATCAATTGCGTTGATTAGTTTTTGGTGAAAATCTGAAGTTTTTTTTTCGCAATAAACAGTTGAAAATTTAATCTAAATAGCTAATTTTCAATTCTTACCGATTAAGTCGATCAAGAAAAAATACCACTTACAACTAGTTAATTAATTAATATAATATAATTATAATTTTTTTCCTTACCTAAATCATTTTCCACGCATCTTTTTCTCCCAGTATTAAATTGATTCTGAGGGTCGTTTTGGAATCTGAAAATTCAATAATTATTTAAAAAAAATCTTTAAATGATACATAATATTTTTTGGGACTCTATTTGAAATTAAAAAATTAAATGTGCATAATTGAATACCAAAGTGAATAATACTGTAATATAAAATATTTATAAATTTTGTTGGTTTCATCTTCAATAGAACACCACATTAAATTTTAACTAAAATGTTTATAAAACAATAGTAATGAAAATAATTGGTGAAATAAATTAGACGAAAGAGGGTGTTGTACAACATACATTTTGAACGAATACAATGAAAACATTACAAAGACAAAAAAACTTTGCCTGGAATTCCTGGTGAAAGATACTTATGTGAATTAACATTAACGAATCCAGAAATTGAAAGTGATTGATGTTTGATTGTGGATAGAATGCACTTCTTACATTACAAAAAAATTATCTATTATATTTCAAAAATATTAATATAATTATTTTTACCCCGGTAAGCACTCTCCACAATCCTTTGGATCTTTGGCACATCCTGGTGGATTACTTTGTCCATATTGGGAACAGTCCAAACATGGGGTACAATGTTTATTTCGGTAGCAGTACTCATTTCCTAAACAATCACTATTTGATTGGCATTGTTTTAAGGCTAAACTGGAAACTACAGTCATTAAGCAGAATAGTATCAGAGGCATTGTTAATCTTTTTGGTCCTTTCATTATGGTGAATCTGGAAGGAAAAAAGGTATAATTTAATAATATTTTCTATATCCCATGATAAAAGATAGCTATATGACTTGATATCATTTTTACTAACATGATCTTAGACTAGAATCAGAATAATCTCAGAATAATTATTAGATGAGGGAATCTAATGGTAAAACTCATACTTTGCAAGTATATTTATCTAATTGCAAATATTGCAAATTAATGGTGAATTTATATATATCCCAATTCTCAATAGTTGTGGATTGTACCGTAATTATTATTGTTTGGACATAGTTGTATTTGATGGCTAATAAATTATAATTATGAAATTTTATGAATGATGAAAAAATAACAAATAACAAACAATTTTGAACTCTTAATTAATATAAAAAAGTAAATAAAAAATAATTGATCTTTTATCAACTTTTCAATATAACAGTTTCCGAGTTACTTATAAAGCTTCACTAAAATTTATACAAATAAGTTATAAATATTTTACAGTATGTAATTGCACAACTGCAAATGAGATAACAATAATTGCATCATTTTGTTAAAAGGACAATGCCAAGATAAATAACCAGAATAAACTAAATAGACTAAATTTAACCTGACTAGACGAAATTTAACCTGACAAAAAATGTAAATGGAATATAAGTAAATTATAGAATACTGAAGTATTCAAAATTTGTATGCTTATAAGTTATCACACTTTCGTTTATCAAAGTGTCGATATAACGATTGAAGATATTATTTACCTTAACTTTTTATTAAAATAATATTTATTTTAGTACTAATAAAATTAATAATAATAATAACCACTTGATTAAAGATAAGAACACAAAATGATCCTAAGCAAGCACGTGCAGAAGAAAAATTAAAGCAAGCTTGAACAAGCTCAACATTGAAAAAATAGTTTGTGTATTTGTTTAATGATATCTCTATCGTTTTTTATGCTTAGCACATCAATGTTTATTTACTTGTTTTTCATATATCATAAGATAAAGATATTGAATGCGTTATGAATATGCAGCGATTACCACTTTCTTCGAAAATAAATAATTTAGATCAACTAGGACACCTAGTCTAATTATAAGTGTAAGTGGCGTCATGCAAGTTGTAAAAACTTCCCAAAAAAAGTTTATGTTCTAGCTAAAAATCTACCTTGCTATTTTTCCTCGACGTCTCGAAGGCTTAGTACATAAACACGAGTTCATATCGAATTTAGTATTAGTTAAGTTTTTGAAATCGTACCAGTGGTTTTTGAAAAAACGTCGACGAAAGGTCAAACTTTTGGCCCGAATTTTGGTCTCGCCGAGAAAACATTAACATCAACAAGTCCAACTTGGTAAAAACAAACCTTTTCTTCGGAAAGTTAATAAATCGTTAAATTATTCGCGGTATACAATATTATAGCTTATAATCGCTTATAATATTTACCTAGCTTTTTTGAACTTAATTTTAGATAAATATTTTATATAATTTTTATCTAATTTTTTTCTAACAAAGCGTTTAAAATAAATGAATATAACTGTTCAAAAAACATTTTGAATTTTAGAAGTCGAAAATTGATTCAAAATTTAAAAAAAAAATATGTGTAATTATTGAAATTAAATAAAAAATTGTATTTGTTAAGTAGAATTTGAATAAAAATAAAGCAAAATAGGAATAATAGAATTCGAATAGCTGAATTGTATTAGGAGTAAAAAGAAAAAATATTAGAACTTGCCGAATTTTAAAGAAGAATGAAGAAAAAAATGGAGTGAAGATAAAAGTTGAATAGAATTAGAAATTTGAAAAAAGAGCAAAAATTGAAGAAAAATAAGAAGAAGAAAAATTAAGAGGAATATTGAATAGGGTATATATTGAAAATGATATAAAAATTGAAATATATGTAATAAAAATGTTGTAGGTGGCTAAATTTTAAATGAATAAAAAAATAAATAAAATAGAAGTCAAAAAATCAGACTTGCTATAACTAAGTTTGAGCTAAATTATATACGCAAAAACAAATTGCTGGTAATTAACTACAGATGTTCAATTTACAGCAAAATAACAAATAAAGTGATCTACGTGTATACATATAAAATTAATCAAACGAAGAAACTTTTTTTTTAACTTCCCAAATGAGAAGTTTATGTTTTCATTAAAAAAATCCGATTCGCCTATTTTATGTTTTACGACGTTTCAAGCCGATTTTTATTGGCGATATATATCATGGGCTTATAGAACGTACTAAAAGATTACGTCCTTACGACAAGTAGTTAAATTTTAATAATTTATCAAAGTTTGAGAAAATGAGTAGATTTACTTAGTATGACTATAGAGTACATGGTCTTAATGAAACACAATAAACCATTAAAGTCTTATGGAAACTCTTTCAATTATAAAAATTATTGATTTTTGAAAATTTGCTTTTAGAAAATACTCCGAGTTATGGTGTTCGTTCGTTTTCAATTGTGTGTAATAAATCCACTCGGAATACTTTTAATCACTCATGATTTAATTTATTTTTTATTGATAAAGTCGATTATTTACACATTTCGGAAAGTTCATGTAACTTGCCTCAAGGCAAAATATCAATACCAACTAGTTATTTTTTTTTTTAAACTATGCGGTCTACAGATCAGGTTGATGTAGGGCGTAGACTGAATGCAATAATAGAAACTTGTTCGAACAAACATACTACATCTTACTCCCTCTGGATCCTATCTCACAATCAGTATAGCTGTTATGGCGACTTAATCTATAGTACCCTGGCACAACCGTACCCAGTCTCCCCTATTATTTCTACAATCGACATCGCGAATGTTCTAGAAATAAATCGCGATATCGCGATGACGAATCAATATAAAAAGCTTGAGAGATAACGCTTGCGATTCAACCACCATTATCAGAAAGCAATGAACATAATTCTTATATTAATACATATTTTCTTTATTTGTGTTCATTTTCAGCTAGCAACAACTTTTAACCTATACTAATGAATTATATGTCAAACTAATTGCGTATTTCAATTAAAAGCTTGAGAGATAAAGTTTGCGATTCAACCATCCATTATCACAAAGTATTGCAACGTAACAATTCTTTTATACTAATGCGTATATCCTTCATTACTTATCATCTCCAGTTAGCAACAACTTTTAACCTATAATAATGAATTATACGACATATTAATTACAGTATAATATTATATAAATGAATTTTTTCAGAGCAAAGACCTACGACATTCATTAATTGCAGTCGTACGACATAACTTATCTGTAATATATAATAATTATAATTGTAAATCTTGGTAATGGATGACTTTTAATTGTGATACGAGTTGTAAGTTCAATAAATGCTATAAATAAATCAAGAAACGTAAATTAACTCAACTACCCGAATGCCTAAATTAAACTGAAAGTTTCTGGAAAAAGTTAATACAAAGTCAATAGGATAACAAACAAATTCAACAAGAAATACTTATAATTAGATTGTTTTGCGTTATACATAATATAAAACAGCATATTTTATGGGAGTTTTTTATGCTGATGACAAACTATAGGTATTTCTTCTTTAAAATTAGCTTGTTATCATATTTTTTATTTAGTTAGCTGTGTATTGTTAGTTTTTTATTTTTGAAATACTATACTAAATCCAATAGCTTTGTTTTAGTGTTGGGTTGCACTAATACTTGAAATTAATGTTCGGTTAAGCAAATGACTTAGAATGAACAATTTAATCTTAATAATATTTTATTATATTATGGTTTATTATTTTTTGTTATCATTAACATCCTAAATTCAACTTTTCAATTAGATATACAGATTGCAGAATAAAATTAAAATTAAGAAAAAAATGATCAACATCTTAATCGGCACGATATCAGAAAAATTTTCATGTAAGCCATGGTAACTATCTTAGATAATTTAGTTAAAAAATTATCAAAAAAATTTATGGTATCAAAGAAAAAATAATTTTTTGCCAAAATTCCTGGAAAACACTATTTTTTTGATATAACTGACATGGTACTATATTTAAACATTTTTTTCTTTTACCAAGTTGACAATGTAAGACATATATGTCTGATATATGGTTCTGTATGAAAAGCTTTTTAGCGTCAGACACATATGACTGACATGGCAATTAACGTGTTAATTCAGTGAGAAATAACTTACTCAAATTATTGATTACATCAAAAATGTTATAAGCTGCCAAGTGGTTTTAATCAGGTCTATTTTCATACAAATTGAAACATTTAATTATTGTTATTTGTAGCATTTTCTGACAAATTAAATGCATTTCCTGTAAAACTTATTCTGACACAATTTAATTCAACTGAAATCTGAAATGATATATATACAATTTCAGAATTATTTAAGATTAGACAGATAGGTAAAAGACAATAATGCAGATTTAAATATTTTGTTGTCTCTAAAAAAATTAAATTAATAAAATAATATTACTTACGAAACGTATAAACCCTAGACAATATTAGAATACCCCGTGTTCATAACTTTAAATATTAATCAAACGTCATTTTTGACATCACGAGTCTTTTGATTGGTAGTTCTGTTTATTTGAAATGTCAACAATCGTCTTGAAGTTGTAGTCAATGCTTAAGTAAAAGGCAGCGATGAAGATAATTTTTTTTTATTCTATTTTAAATTAAAATGGAATTAATAAACTAATTACTTACAATTATTATTATTAATATTACTTACAAACCGTATAAAATTTATACGTTATACTATAAATTTCAAATATTGTTCAAACGTCTTTATTGACATTACAACTCTTTTAGTTGGTAGTTCTGTTTAAAGAAATGTCAACTAGAAGTTGCAACTTGAAGTTGCATCAAAACATTGCCAAAACGCTTGAAATTTAGGTTATTAAAGTTTAAGTTTTCATATAAAAATAAAGTTGAAAATAAAAGAAAATATTTCGCGCAAATTATTTAATTTGAAGTGTTATTTTTTGTAGTGTTTGCAAATTTATGGTGAAAGCTTTAGGCGCAGATTTAAACCCAAAGTTTTATTTACG